GCCTCATACATATGTACAGATGGATAACCCTTCAATGCCAAGTGTTTCACAAAAAGTGTCATTTTTATGACCTTCCCATAGATCCCAGCTTTTATACTCACACAAACCAATAAATACAGTACTCTGTGCCGCCATTCCACACCTAGAAAAAAGAAGAACAGCGTGATTGTGTGGGTTTGATTAAGACATGCTAGCACTAACAACAAAATTCATTCAGGAGGTATCCAGTTAAAATGTTGGTAATATCAGTGTGATGACAAGCAAACAAAAACGGGGTTTCCCAGCAGCAGCGAGAAGCTTACAATATGGTATTGTTCTAGCACATTCCAGTGTTGATAATACCAGACTGGGCTAAAGGCCTTAATCCAACCAATATCTTGAATAAGTGGAGGGTGTCTTTCTGCTAACAAGAAGCGCAGCTATTCTCTCCTCTGTGCATCATTATAAAGTTCCTGTGAATACATCGAATAAAGCGAAACATCTCTGTCTAATCCTATAGGCCGGGATTTGTTTAGCTAATGCTAAGACCCTTTTGACCTATTTCTGTCACCTCTAGCATGCAGGCACCCACTCAAGACTTCCCGAACAAAACGCTGGTGCACAACAGCACCCACAGAGTATACATGATAAAACAGATAATCTACAGGAACTCAGCTCCGGGAACAGGCAGCCAGAAGTGTGCTTCAGACAATAAAAACAGGGTATTATCCCTCGGGGGAAATGGAGAACAATGTCTAAGTGGATTACTTGAAGGATTTCGTATGAAAATATATTCAAATTTGGAGGCTATGACGAAGAATGATAGAACATTTTGAAATTGAAACAGTACTGATAAAATTACAGCATTTCAGGAGATTATTACTTGCAATTGTTCTCCAGTTTAGGAGCAATGCTCTTAAAAGACAATGTTTCAAATTACTTATCTCGCTTATCACAACAAGCCAATAGCATTCGCTTCTTAAAAATCTCGAGCAATGGCTATTTATAGCTATTTTGTGAGCCACCACATATCAGTATATAAGTGTGAGTCCTCTCAGTGTGGCATTCCTCCATCAACACAAAGCCTCCAGTATTGGAGATTCATCACATGTCTGGCTTAATGTGTTAATTAATTCAAGCCCAAACTATCTCCTAGGGGAACGGTGCAACAAAATGCATTTACAGCACAGCACAGTGTACAGGAAAAACAAGCAGCTCAAATTATCTCAACCTAATGGGAGTCAGGAGTAGTGCATTAAAACAAAGCCTCTCATTACTCAGCTTCCATTAAAAGTCCACAACCAACAACTTCAGCTTTCTTTCTGGCTAAACCCCAAGGTTACTGTTGTATGCAACAATGTTCCCAACAAATTCTCTTCAGTGAACAATCACCAGCTTGCATTTGAAGCCCAGTGCGAGGCCTGTAATGCATCAAGAATGAGTGGTTTAAAGTACTGACCTTATATACAAAATACTGCTTCCGTGCTCTTATTTCTGGTATTCAAAAAGAATGGCGCTTTAGTTTGTAGTCCGTGCTCAACGTATGACCCTTTGTTGTCAGTTATCCACAGAGTGGACAGATGGCTCCCTGTGCCCTCAGACCGGCTGGAGCGGAGGCTGGCTTTGCTATTAGTCCCTCAGCTTAGCCCAAGATAAGCCCCTACGCAGGGCAAGTGAACCCGCATCTCTTGCCTAATTCTCCCTGTCACAGTCACCAAAGAGGCGTTCCTCCGCATGGAGTTCCACTAGCTGAAGAGGCCTAAGGGCAGGGCAAAGAGGCTCTCCGGCTGGACAGTGTCCAGCAAAGATAGAACCAGCTACAGTTACACCACAACAAAAAGACCCAGGAAGGTCTAGCCTTTTGCAGTCATCAAAAAAGCACAGTGAGATGGTGAAGAGAAGCTTTGTTAACCGATGTTGGTTCGTGTCTAACGGCTCTGCATGACTGCTGTGTTTTTCATTAGATTTTCTGAGAGCTTCCTGCCAGCACAGGGCAGGATTTTCTCTAAAAATAAATCTCCTTGTAAGAAATCTGTGCTTTCTTACAAGGAACTTGACTAATTGAGGGGTGGAAAGGACAATGTGGCGTTTGAGGTATTTAGTGATGTTAAGCACAATGTCTTCGTGGGGGGCTTTGCCCACCCCCCTTCATACGGCCTCTGCCCTCCCCCACAACAAGCCCTTCTGCCCTTGTAATGAGGCCATACTGGATACAATGCAGCCCTTCTGCACAGAAAAAATGTATTCAGCTGAGACCCAAATTTGTGAAGGAAATGAATCAGTGAAGCATAAGTGGCATATTTAATTACTATTCAGTGCATTGCACGGAGACAATGATGGCTGCTGCGAGTCTCATGGCCGTCTATCAGACGTGTAAGCAGACATTCACTTCTCAGCTATGATTTCAATTCAGCCTCCAAGTTGCACTTCTATGATTAAAAGATTTTACCTCGTGAGAACAGAAGAAGGAAGGCTGTCTTTATAAGTCTCAATACTGACTTGATTTGACTCGCTTCACTTTTTAGGAGGCCTTTCTTTCAGAGTTAAGACAAGGTTAGAGGTTAAGCAGTAAAAGTAAGCAAAGTTTTATCCAGTTATAACAAAACAGGTTCAACAGGGTGTCTCTTTGTGTCCAAACTGCAAGTAGAATCAGAAGCACAAGAGGAGCATCAAAGCATTCAAGGGCATAGCATGTGACAGCTATTTCTATCCTTTCAGAGACCATGAGATGATCTGGCATTTCATGCCAATCACTTGTGACTAATTTCTTCTCCTTCGTGTACCTTGTCTGTCAACTAGATTAAAAAGTCAGGGATTAGATGTAATTGGATTACAGTGAAGTGATTACTTAGACCTGCTGGTGTAATCAGTTACAGTTACTGAAAGCAGAGTACATGTAGTGGTTACCCAAATGGGAAAAACTAGATAAAGGATAAAATATACACACTGCCCTTGCATGATTTCCTGTGGCTTTCTAGCTCTATAGCTAGCATATCTTAATCATCACACAGTATTATTGTGAACTAATCAATATTTTTAATCAGTCACTTCTGATTAATGCCCTCGTTTGTGCACCCTGTTAGCCAGCGAGGCTAGGAGTCAGATGATATGTCAGAGGTACTGAGAAGCAATTTCTCATGCTTGTTACTCAAAGCAGTGATTTCAGATGTCTTGGAAGGAATTTAAATGCCTGTACAGGATGAATACACAGTTCATGCTCATGATATTATTTAAATGTATATATGTGCTTAGCACCTGTGAACCTTTCATGTCTGCTGGGCTGACACAACGCACTCAAAAATCTGATGGATGCCCCATATATGAAAATGACAGCTATAGATTATGTGTCAGTGCAGATCTCTCATCAGCTGCCAGAAACATATGTACGTGCATAATGCATGTATTTCTACAGCCAGCGCCCCCTTTGGAATGTGTTAAAAATATATATTTCATCTGATAATTAAGAAATGTTGATGTAAGGAAATATACTGTGTCCCAACTTTTGGTTTTATATCCCACAGCACCATCTGTTTTACAGTAAAAACACATAAAATTACACAATATAAAAGAACATTTTTTAAGGTAGATAGACTTAAAACTGCATGACTCTCACTTATCGTTAATCACATTCACAGAGAATACCTGGCCTCCCAATAAGCTTACAAGATTCAACTAACCTATATTAAAAACCAGTGTACATTTTTAAGGACTTTTTTTTCTCTAAGCTAAACATTTTTAAGATTGCCAACTTTTCTCACCGTTTATCTGATGCTCTTCTACAAAAATTGGCCAAAAGCGAAGGTTGAGATTTTTTTTTTTCCCCACGTGACCGCAGTGCAGCTACAACAGTTTTGATTGGTCCAAGGAGCAGCATGTTTTGGTGCTCTCTTCCGTCTTCCGTCTTCCTAGCAGTAAATAAATACATAGTCATTACACCGAGGTAAAGTAACACCAACATCTGCTGGGTCGGCCGGTCTTACGCACAGGGACTACAAATGGACGAGGACTACAAAAGCTCAGCTGCTGTCCGCCGGACTTTACACTCTAGCAGAGTCGATCAGTAACCTACGCAGTGATAAGGACTGCGTTTGAAATATCTGAAGCAGGAGCAGTCCCGCTGTGTTTTGTGTTACCTTTGTTCGGCGGAACAATTGTCATAATGGCTTTTCACCAACTTTGCACTTTTGAAACTTTTCAGCAGGTCTCGGGGCGCTACGGTTATGGAGAAAACTTCAGAGACGTGATCGAGCAGGAGTTCACGCGGATTAAAGGTAATGCTTGTGCTCAGTCCTGAGCAGCAGCTGTAGTGACGGAACCGCTGGCTGTAAACCGTTGCTTCTCTGTTGTAAACAGGGATAACATACCTGGATCATGCAGCAGCTACTTTGTATCCCGAGTCTGTGCTTAGGGACTACTGCCGGGACATTACAAGCAATCTGTACGGTGAGACAAGTCACATAAAATCCCACCAAGTGTTACTGCTATGTGGTTATTTTTCCTTGAGCCATGAAATTTAAAAGCATCTCCTTTTTGTTTTTCCCCCCAATAGGAAACCCCCACAGCCACAACCCCAGCAGCAGACTCACACATGACACGGTGGACCGGGTCAGATACAGGTAAAGTCTGTGCATGCTCTCAAAAGCCTTAATAATGGGCCAGCAACTCCTTCAGTTGGTACTTTGCTGGAATAAATGAGTGAAAACATTTTCTTACAGGGTATTGCAGCATTTTAACACCACCCCTGAGGAGTACTCTGTGATTTTCACTTCTGGTTGTACAGCCGCTCTTAAATTAGTGGCTGAGAGCTTTCCCTGGAGGTCGCACACAGAGAGCCAAGCAGGGAGTCACTTCTGCTACCTCACTGACAGCCATACCTCTGTAGTTGGCATGAGAGGACTGACTTCTAGCCGGGGGGTGGTTACCCAGCCCGTCTCCCCGCAGGAATTGGAAAACAGAGCAAAGGATGAAGCTCAAGTTGAAGATGTTATTTGCCAGACACCGCACCTCTTCTGCTACCCAGCACAGAGCAACTTCTCAGGGAGGAAGTATCCCCTTAGCCATGTGAAAGGCATCCAGGCGAGACGCCTTTACCCAGCGTGTGCCCACCAAGGCCGCTGGTTTGTGTTGCTCGATTCAGCCTCTTATGTCAGTTGTTCGCCTCTAAGCCTACAGGACTGCCCTGCTGATTTCATTCCTATCTCTTTCTACAAGATATTTGGCTTCCCCACAGGTCTGGGGGCGCTTCTTGTCCGTAACGACGCAGCAGACATACTAAAAAAGACTTATTTCGGAGGAGGCACAGCAGCAGCTTACCTTTCCGGAGAAGATTATTATGTACAGGCGGCAAATATTTCTGACAGGTAAAACATTCTTACAGCCCATCGAAGGCCAGATAGTCTCTGAGAACTCACTGTTGTGAGCATCTGTATTCAAAACGCAATGTTTTCTCTCTCCCCGATAAAGATTTGAAGATGGCACTGTGTCCTTCTTGGACATCATTGGCTTAAATCACGCATTTGAAGCTCTTTACAGAATCACAGGTACTGTTGCCAGAGCATGGCGATTCATTCAATCTGTTGTTTAATAGCGAAATCATGATGCGTATGCGGGTTGTTTATAATCTGCCTCAGGTTAAAAACAACAACCCTCAACCTTCGTTTATTTCTTTTTCCCTTCAGGGGGCATGCACAACATCCAGCAGCACACGTTCGGCCTGGCACGATACACTTACATGCTGCTGTCAAGTCTTTGCCATGGCAACGGGAGACCAGTGGCTCACATATACACCGAAGGCCAGTTTGACAGTCCAATCACACAGGGCGCAGTCCTGAACTTCAACCTAATGGATTCAAATGGACAGATAATTGGCTATTCACAGGTGCATGTGGAAAACAGAATTTACTTCTATTTCATAACAGTCTAATAATTGTGTGTTTATGTAAAGGAGGTGAAATAATTTCTGTCACTCACAGGTCGACAGAATGGCAAACCTGTACAATATTCACGTGCGCACGGGTTGCTTCTGCAACACGGGGGCATGTCAGTCCTTCCTCGGGATCACCAGTCAGCGGGTGAAGAGGAACCTGCAGGTGAGAGATGAAAGAAAGAGAAAATTGTCAAAGTCTGTTAAGGGCATGCGTAGGTAGAATGAAACGTCTCTCTCTCTCTCTTTTTCTCTTCAAGGCCGGCCACGTCTGTGGAGACAACATCGACATAGTGGATGGCCAGCCGACCGGATCTGTTCGAGTGTCCTTCGGCTACATGTCAACATTTGAAGACTGTCAAAAGTTCCTGAACTTTGTGGCGGAGTGCTTCGTAGAGAAACCGGTCAGAGTAGACCAAGAGAGGCTACAGGAGTTAAAAAGAGCTGCTGCAGCGTCAGAGGACTCCAATGAATCTCCTTCAATCAAAATTACTAATGGAGGAGTATATAAAGGAGATGAAAAGAAGCCCACAGAAGCATCACTGAAGGGATTTCAACTGAGAGACTCAAACAGCCATGGGGTGGCTTATACTCTGACCAACATATACATCTATCCTATCAAATCTTGTGGAGCGTATGAGGTTTGAGAACAGCCCAGCCTTATCTCTCGTCTTTCTTTTCTAACCTTTTTCTCTCCTCCCCCTTCTTCCACTCTACCTGTTTTGATTTGACTCTGCTCTTCATGCAGGTCCACGACTGGCCGGTGGGCCCGCTGGGTTTACTGTATGACAGAGGCTGGATGGTGGTAAATGGAAACGGCGTTTGCCTGAGTCAGAAGAGGGAGCCACGTTTGTGTCTCATTCGCCCGCAAGTCCACATTCGCTCCAACAAATTGCTCCTGCAGGCATCAGGTCAGACACTCAGTTCATGGCTCACTGGGAATACATTTTTAAAATATATGTCTAAATTTCAGTGCCGTAAACTTCAACGAGGATTTTTGTTTTGCTTTTTCTTCAATCGCCCTACAGGGATGGATACCATTTCTGTTCCCCTGGAAAACAACAATCATTCGCACACGAGGGTGTGTCACAGTAAAGTTTGTGGTGACAGGTGAGCTGGCAGCGTTTGAGACATCCGAAAAGCATGAGCTGCAGGAAATATTGTGACACATGTCATTTGTTCTTTGTTTTTCTCTCGTGTCAACGCTCTCCCTACCTGTGTCGTTCTTTATGCTACCCCTTCTTTGTGGATGGCATTATAAGGCCCTCCTCTCCCAGCTTCTTATGAAATTCCTGCTGCTTACCATTTTTAGGGGAAAACAAACAATAGAGCATTGGATGATATTAATCTCCTCTGACAGATCCCCCACATGACGAGTCACAAGCTTAAAAAAAAAAGCCATTCACCCAGTGATTCTCAGATTAGATGTCACAGCAAATAGTAAGCAGCATCAAAACTCTGTAGATTTCCCCCGGGGGTCTCCTGAATATAATCTTCCTCCTTCCCCAAGGGTGGAGACTGTCGACTGTGGGGATGAGGCTGCATCATGGCTTTCAGACTTCCTTGGACAGCCGTGCCGCCTGATAAAACAAAGGCCTGATTTCACCCGAGAAATGAAGAAAAGGCCGAGTGAAGGTACCAGTACAAGCGTTTCACCTGTTTTGCCTCGCCTTTCTCTGTTTACTCCAGATTTATGTGGAATACAGTACACGAGCAGTGTGACCTTGCATTCAGTAATGTTGGCAACATCTTTTTCTGTGACACTGCTTAAGAGCGTCAGATTGTAATCCGAAAGACTGTGAAAATGCTGCGTATGCCAGGGATTCTCAGCCAAGGATGTGAATCCCTCATTTAGACTGGAACATGCGATTTGATTTTAAAAAAATCACACCTACTGAGCAAACATTCACACCTGATTCCTTTTTGCACTTCGCAATGTGTGAAAATCATTAATAAGGGAGCAGAAAACATGCCCCAATATGTTCATTTCATCCTCTATATTTTCTTTTTGGGCTCCACTGGAGTAGCTTTGGATGACTCACAGTTCAAAACAATCCTTATTTATCTTATTCCTAGCTTGTGTGCGCCACTCTGACACAAGCCATTTTAGCTAATTCACTCTCCCAGCCTTAAGCCAACGTTTTTCTGATTGGCTGTTCCATTGTAAACACAAGATATGTATATTTAAAGTGCTTATCTAAAAGTAGTGCATACCTGATTAATGAGTTAAATGTCACAACTCAGTGGCTTAAAACTGTGTACTTAAATTTTGTACAATAGTTCAATGAAATTGTAGTACTGTCCCATGTCAGCGTTAATATAAAGGCAAGCAAAACACAATAAATAAATGCATAAAGTGCATCAAGTTCAGTTGTTATAGTAAATATGACTTCATAAAAGTGAACTTAATCTGAGTATGGAGATCCAGGATTTTAATGGCAAGCCTGTGCTACAAACTGGACATGAGGGATTTGAAAGCTCTGGACATTTAGCATCCAGGGAGAATCTAAGGCTAGGATTATACCAGGAAATACTTACTTATACTTTTGCATGTATCCAACGGTCAGCTTGGGTCTGCATGACGTAAATTTCCCCATCAGATGGTGAACTTGAGGCTCTGTGCAGACCTCAGAGTCACTCCCACTTTGTTATGAACAAATGGACTTGTGGCTGCTACCACTGGCCTGACTTATGCTCCTTGAAGAGGAATGCACACAAATCCAAACACCACAGTTCTTCTTATCGTACCACTTTGAAAGAGTATGATGAGAGGAGCCATGTGAAGTCGGTGCCCTTGTACTGCTGTGTCTTTTGAGCTACAGCAAATTAGGACATCTCAGCCTCGCCTGTGCAGATCCCGATCGTTCTTTGTTTTGAAATCTGCCTTTTGCGAGTCTCCAGATTATCCTGGCGTTTAATATACATTTCTGACATCTTCATTTCCCACACTCCATATCTTTGGAACTTTTTTATTTGTACCCAAGCTAAGCAACAAGGCCAAGGGATGTAAGCACATAAGGAAAAAAAGCTGCCGTTCCCAGAGTGGCCTTGAGACTTACTCCAAAAGTGAGTAAAACCCTGTAGACTCCAATGTTTAAAAGCCCAAATTTATACACATAAAAGCTGCAGAACATAATTTTGATCTCTATGGTCACATCTCACTTAATAACTACAGTACAACTATATGACAACTACACTGTGTGTGTGTGTGTGTGTGTGTGTGTGTGTGTGTGTGTGTGTGTGTGTGTGTGTGTGTGTGTGTATATATGTGTACATATATATATATATTAGGGGTGCAACGATACACAAAATTCACGGTTCGGTTCAATACTTTGGTGTCACGGTTCGATATTTTTTCGATACAAAAAAAATGTTCATGCCTTTTTAATTTGTC